TCTTTTGATCCTATCACTTCCCCAAGAGCCATCAGCTGGCAACCAAGCTTTTATCACATGAGTTTGGGGGAGATTTTAATCCGAAGCTTAGCATCCTTCTTGTTTCAATTGCGATCAGAAACATTTTTTTCGTTTTTTAAACAGCAGTAGTTTTCTGTTCCTTCCATTGTGATAGCATTTCCCTAGTACCTGAATTGCTCAAAGCTCTGATACTTATTGAACAGGTGGAGTGGATGAGAAGAACATTAGTTCTAATTCTGTTTATAACTGTGAGAGAAGTTGTCTCCTCACGAGGCAGTTTGGGGCAGGGAAAACAAGTTTCACAAGTCTGCCAGTCTTAACTTCTTCCCTCCCTGCCTCCAAATTGTTGTCTGAATGATCCATGCTGTGCTTTTGAGGCAGGTGCCAGAACCATGGAGCTAAATCCCTGGTCCTCTATGCTCTTTTTAAGTGCAAATGTCACCTACTTGTTTCAAAGCCCAAGGACTCCCCTTTGCCCATCTACACTCCATGGCCAGGAAGGCACACACATGGCTTTGGTTTGCCCTGCAGCTCCTCCAGGGTTAAAACAATTTAAGTTAAGAAGAACATTTATAATATTGGATGATTTCTTATAAAATCCAGGATTTTAATTTTGCCTGGAAGATTGTTAGAAGGCAATACTGAGCAGGAGGAACTATGTAGGTCTGACCCTGAGTCGGGGCTACCACCAGGTCTTTTCACCTCCCTCCACAAGCTGGGGAACCACGTGTGTTTGCTCCCCTACTCCAAGAGAAGTTCTAACTCATTAACAGGTGCATGGAGTCCTGCTCAGTGAGCCTCGCCCCACCACCCCATCTTCCCACTCCATCCCCACAGCATATGCTAACTAAAGAGACAGTGCTTTGCCTTGTTGAGGAAGAGTTTGTTATGACACTTATTAAAAAGGACTTCATCTAAAAAGCGACTACTACACTGGAGTTTTGCAGTGGCAGACAGAGACTGGGGATCAACTCCAAAGATAAGGATAGGTGGGATTGATGCCCAGGGTAGGGACAGGGCCGGGCTCTGTAGAAGGAAGGTTACTAAGGGGAAGCTCCAGGGGTAAAGCAGGATTCTGGGGAAACTAACCTGCAGGAATTCTTGCTAAAGACCAGCCAGGGTGAGAGAATGAGGGTGGGGATTCTCATGAAACCAACCCAGCAGGATTCTTGATGAAATGAGGCTCTACCAGGAGCTGAAGCTCAGGGTCCAGGCACAGAGGGCTGAGTGGCGCCTTAATAGAGTTAGGTCAAGGGAAGTCTTTGTCAGCCTGTTTGAATTTGGTTACTTCTACAGTTTCTTTAATCTTTATCCAAAAGACTCATCTTGCAAATCTCTCTGGAGCATGGGTTAGTTGGAATGTGTATGCCTGGCCTGGCCACTGTTTAGGGAGTGTTTCAAGGGAGTTACTATTTATTTATCAGTTATGTAGTGGAGCTGGGAATTGAACCCAGAGCCTCATTCGTGCTAAACACTCACTGTACCACTGTACCACTGAGCTGCATGCCAAACCCCAAGGGGTTACATTTCACATTTTCATGGTGTGTTGATCCAGAATTCCTGGGAAGGGCAAGAAGCAAAGGCAGGAAGAGAACAGATGGGGGTCTTTCTGTGCTTAGAGTCATTGCCAAAAAAATACCTTTTCATTTGGTTACCTAGCTGTATATTTACAGGCATTCTGCACAGTAAGATTTAGGTCACAGAAACAAAATTATGTTTGGCCTTGTTTAGGATGGTTGTTGTCAGACATTGCCAGTAATTCTTTCCCAGAACTACTGGAAAACTGGTACATCAGTTAGCCTCATTGTTATACTTATAGAAATCAGTTCAGGCTATGGAGCAAGTTACTTCAATAATGTTCACACTCAGTCCAGGAACTTCCAGAGGATTCATTTCCAAGAAAGCTGGGCATTTGTTCTCTAGTTTCAAGAAACTGTTGCTCAGGTCAGGCTTGCCATGTTGCGGCCATCATTGGACCTGGGTTCTGTGTTTTTGTTTGTTTTTTCAGTACTGGGGATCGAACTCAGGACCTTAGTTTGCAAGGCAAGTGAGGTGCCACTGAGCTAAATCCCTGGCCCTGTGGGCTCTGTTTTTTTTTTTTTGTACTGGGGATCGAACTCAGGACCTTGCGCTTTCGAGGCAGGCGCTGGAACCACTGAGCTAAATTCCCGGCCTGGGCTCTGTTTTTTGCCACCACAAGACCTGACTTGCCCAGGAGGAGCCAGGTGAATTGATGTTACCCTAGTCAAACTCACAAGGACTATTTGTAAACTAGAACATTAGTTGTTTTTTTTAGTACCAGGGATCGAACTCAAAACCTTGTGCTTGCGAGGCAGGCGTGGAACCACTGAGCTATATCCCAGGCCCTAGAACATTAATTTTTATACATTTATTAAACACCTACCTATTGATTGCGTGGTCCTGTCCTAATCTCTAGGGAAACAAAAATGCCTCATGAGCAGGAATGCTTACTGACCTTTAGAATTTTATGGTCCAGAAAATGAATGTGTAAATATATTGCATATATTATGCTAAGTGCAGAGTGGCCTCACATTTAGGTCTGCCTGAGACAGTCCTGGTAGATGCCTATTGTCCTGGTGCCACAATTAATAATACTCCCTTTCATTTTTCAGCTCTAAAACCCACAGTAATGATCCTCGTGAATGTTTGGGATTTAAGAAGGGTAGAAAGCAGGAAGAAGCTGGCCTTTTTTCCCACACCAGCTCTTTAGGAAGTCTGGGCAGTGGCCTGGGAGCTCAGGTTGGGAGAGGGGGTGGAGGTGGCTTGCAGGGATATACAAAAGGAGATTGCCTCGGAAGCAGTCTTCAGTTGGTTCCAACTAGGCATTGTTTTCCAAATTTACCTATGACAATTCCTCAAGGACATTTAGTAAACAAACAGTTCTTCAGATATTGTTGGCAGTTTGGATTTGTGTTCTTTTGTGAGGGATGGGGTGGGGGACTGACATTGAACCTAGCCATTCCCAGCCTTTTTTTTTTTTTTGAGACAGTCTCACTAAATTATGAAATTGTTTTTGCCTCAGCCTCCCAGAGTGCACCACTGCTCTGCTAGGGATTTGTGTGTTTGTGTTTTTTCATACCAGGGATCAAACTCAGGACCTTGCACTTTCGAGGCAGGCATGGTGCCACTGAGCTAAATCCCTGGCCCCTAGGATTTGTGTTTCTGAAGAGCCTCTCACAGGTGATTCTTGGACATAGTAAAGGTTAAATCCAGTCCTCTGCTGAAGAGGGGAGTGGAAGGAAGCAGGAGCAGCCGGTGTCACAGATCAGCCAGACAGTCCTGAGCCAGGTGAGAAGGCCCTAGCTGGAAACAGCAGATCTATGAAAAATGGGAGGTGTGGAAACTGTGTAAGTCACAAGGAAGCAGAAGAAGGAAAAAAATTATTCAGGAGGAAGGATGACCAGGACCTGGTATATGCTAGATACCAACTAACATTATTTCCAGACAAGAAAACATTTATGTCAAATTCAGAAACCTGAGGGAATAAAATCTGAAGATTTAGTACTTATTGAGCATAAAGTCAAAGATATAAACAGCTGGATAGTGTCTTTGTTTCTTTCTCTCTGTTTTTTTGAGACAGGTTTTGCTATGTAGTTCAGGCTGGCCATGAACTCACTATGTAGCTCAGGCTAGCCTGGACCTAGCCTGATTCTCCTGCCTCAGCCTCTCTAGTTCTGGGATTACAGGCCTGCATCACCATACCTGGCTTAGGGTGTATTTCATATGGACCTAAAGAAAATAATGACTCCTGTCGACTTCATTTCTTTGTAGCCCGTAGAACACTCTTGACATTTGTGTTTATCTCTGGGAAGAAGCTGAAATGAATTCTAAAGCATCCAGACACCCCAACTCTGTCTTTTCTCAGACAAACCCCTGCCCTCCCATCATGGTAGGATACACACCAAAGCTTATTTTGAGGTTTTGCTTTTGTTTTCATTACTGAATGGGTGAGAGAGTTATGATTCATCAGCAGTGTAAGTGCCAACCCCTTTCAGAGGAGATGGTCAATCTCTTGGAAGTTTCAGCGTGACCTTGTCCCCACATTTTGGGGCCGCTATGTGGGAACCTGCAGCCATCTCCCAGATCACTGCAACTCTGGGAAATGACAACAGTACAGGAAAACTGTACTCAGGCAAGGTGATCATTAAACTGGTGCTGGAGGCAGCCAGTTCATTCTGAAGAGTGCACTGGTAGATTTGAGGGGAGCAATCTCTAAATAAGTTCCTCAATGGAACAAGAAAACAATCGACTATTTCCCTGTGCTTTTTAAACATGGAAGACGTTTTCATGTGAAGGCTGCTGTCACCAGGCCTGGTGGCTTTCTACTAAAGTAGCAAACGATGTCAAAATCAAAGACTTAGAAGTTGTGAAAAGAAAGCCTCAGACAACGGGAAATGCAGACCGCTGTAATGTCACATGGTAATTTTGCGCCCTTTTATCTAAGACTTGGCTACTTCAAAGCATTACTGCGGTGGGGCGGGGCAAGGCGTCTTCAATGCTTGTCCTTGACCGCTCTTTGTGGCTTTGCTGGGGGATTTCCAAAACCCTGAGAATGACAAGGAGGAAGATGAACCAGCTAAAATCTTCCGCGCTGTGTCAGGGCGAGGGGAACACACCCATGCGCAGCAGCCTCCAAGTTGTATGTGCGTGAATGAGGGGCTTAACTTCTGTGTTGTCCAATGTCACCCACGCCATTAATTCCTGATGCAAGAGGAAGACAGAAAAAGGGGAGGAAGAAAAGCGCAACGTGCACAAAGATACCGGACCTCGTCTCCAGACGCAGCCCCAGCTCCCGCCGGGGACGCCAAGGCCCTGGCTCGCTGCCTCAAGCGCAGCCGGGAAGCCCCCGGCCGTAGTCCGGGCGCAACCAGCGCGGCGCGGCGGGGGCGGAGCGTAGCGCGCGCGCCGCCACCTTCAAAGGCCGCCGTCCCCCCCCCCCGCCCGCGCGCGCGGGTAGTACGGTCCGAGGGGGCGGCTCCGGGCGCGGCTCCGGCAGCTGAGGCACCCGCGTGCCGGCGGGAACCGTCAACCGAGCCCTGAGCCGGGAGCCGCCGAGAGCCGGGCTCTCGCGAGGCCCGGAGAGGAGGCGTCTTTGTGGCGAGAGGAGCCGGGTGGCTCAGAGAGAGAAGAAGCGCGGCGCGTGGGCCCCGACGGCGGCCTGAGCACGTCCGTGCCGGCCCACCGCGCTCCGGCGCTGTCACCGCTCCCTCCATTTTGAGAGGGAGGCGGGCGCCCCTTCCCCGGCTGCCCTCGGAGCCCGAGCCGCGCTCATGGCCTTCAGCCCGTGGCAGATTCTGTCCCCCGTGCAGTGGGCGAAATGGACGTGGTCTGCGGTGCGCGGCGGGGGAGCCGGAGAGGACGAGGCTGGCGGCCCCGAGGGCGACCCCGAGGAGGAGGACTCGCAAGCCGAGACCAAATCCTTGAGTTTCAGGCAAGTACACAGCATCCCTGCCGAGATGCGGCGCGCTGCATCCCTGCCTCCACCCTGCTCCATGCATCCCTGTGCTGCGGCTGTTCCGTGTGCGTGTGCGTGTGTGTGTGTGTGTGTCGCCAACCGCCTAACCCCGTTCCTGGCCGCGCTGCGTCCCTGCAGCGTTGGAAAGTTCGCGGTGTTCTGTCTTCCCGTGTGTTTCCTTTCCCTGTTTCTCTGAGGTTGCTGAACCTAGTTCGCATCCCTGTTTGCCTCGGCCGCTTTCTGTAAGCCTCCGCTCGGACACAGACACGGGCGTTGTGGGTGAGCACACCAGGTGCAACCTAGAGCCCCCCGCCCCGGGCCTCCTGTGTGTCCCCGAAATGCAGCCGTGTTATAGAAGGTCTTGTGGTGACAGGCCCCTGGCAGCTGGTGAGGAATGGTGGTCTCCGTTACGCTGTCACCCGTGTGATTGCGGAAGGCAGGTGACAGTATTCTAAGCTTCCAGCCAGTAAGCCTTAGGCAGGTAGAGGCCTACCCAGGAAAAAGGCAAGGCTGGGAATAGATTAATTCTTTAGCAGGGACTGTGTTCATTTTTAAGCCTCTGGAAAAGGGGTTTGGTGAGAAAAGGAGTGTGTTTGAAAGCGCTTTTTTCTAGTGCGAGAGGGAGAGATGACCTCAAAAGTAAATGGTGCTGGAGAAAAGCTCCAGAGGATGGAGATTGTAGGGAGCCAGGATGTCAGACTGAGGAGCCCTGGAGAGGAGCTTTAAAACACCGGGTGCAGTGACCTCCTGCAGGCCAGCCTGTGCCCAGGATCACTGGTTGTATAGTTAGGCAGAGATGCCGGACTTTAACCTTTGTGGAGATGTAAAATTTAAAGGAATGCAAAATGCCGTTGAAAGTGGTAATTCCTCATTTTTCCCCCTTGGCAGCTCGGATTCTGAAGGTAATTTTGAGACTCCTGAAGCTGAAACTCCAATCAGATCACCTCTCAAGGAATCCTGTGATTCATCACTAGGATTGGCAAGACCTGGGGCCAAAACCCAAGGTAAAGAAAAACTTTGATTTTTTTTTTTTACTTCTTTTGTTTTAAAGTTTTAAAAAATGTACCGGAAAGAAGATGGAAAATATTAATTTAGCAACACTTAAATAGGTTTGGATTTTTTTCTTTGCTTTGAAAGAGCATTTTCAGTTTCTGGCTTATTTGGAAGGTTCTTTGTTTTTCCTTCTTGTTTTTCTAAAACAAAACATTTTTACAAAAAAAATTCTGATCATTTGGTGTTCAAAGACTTTCTTCCCTGAATTGCAGTTTATGTATTTACAATATGAGATTATCATTCTCAAACCTTTCTGCTGGATGCTTCTCAGTCCCTAAAAAGAAAAAAAAAATGAAAGCATATAGTGATGGAGTTATGTTTAGATTTGATTTGGCTTCACAGATTCCTCAGGCTAAGTTGCTTTCTACCGGTATCTGACTAGAGACAACAATTATAGGTAAGGCTTTGTTATTGTTTTTGTTTTTTTTGGTAGGGAGGAATCTTAAGTGGCCAATTCAGAATTGCTTACCTTTCCCTCTTCTACCCAGGAAAGCCTGGCACACATATTCTCTCCTATCAGTACCCTCAGAGCCCAACCTTGAGCTCACCCTTCATCTATAGAAGCTTCTACTGTCCCTGTTAAATTAGAAACCTCTTTTTGGCCACATAAGACAGTTTTAAGTAAAATTAAGTAAAATCCTAATAGATTTCATTTGTTCATTCAGTAAATAAAAGTACACTGTGATTGTCAAGTCCTGCTCTCATTGAGCTAGGTTTTAGAGGGAGATCAGCCTTTTAGCAGTTAAATAAAATATATATATAGGCTTGTGTTAAGTACTGTGGAGAATAAGAAAACAGGAGAAAGGGGACTAGGGAATCTGGAGTGAAGACTAATCAGATGACTTGAGCAGAGACCTTGAAGAGGAAGATTGGGGGAGCAAGATTTGTAGATTCCTGGGAAACAAATCCTTCCAGCAGAGGAGATGGCATCCATAATGCCCTGAGACAGGATGGCCTTTGGTGGGCAAGGCACTGGGGTGGAAGGTTCAGGACATGCTTGAGGCCCCAGGGAGGCCAGTATGGCTGGAGTGGAGTGATTGATTGATTCATTCATTCATTTATTAGTACTGGGATTGAACTCAGGACTTTGTGAGGTAAGTGCAGTGCCAATGAGCTAAATCCCCAGTGGAGAGAGTGATTTGGCAGGCAGCAGGAGGGGCTGAGGAGAGCTTGGTGGTAGGTCCAGCTTGTATTAGATGATTTGGTTTTCTGAGTGAGATCGAAAGACTTTGAAGGGTGTGTTAACTTTCTAGGGCTGTCATAACAAAATGCTATAAACAGAGTGGCTTGAATCAGCAGAAATTAATTCTTTCACAGTTAGGGAGAACATAACATGACAGAGTCATGCCCCACTGAGGTCTCTGGGAAGAACCCTTTCTTGCCTCTTTTAGCTTCTGGTGGTTAATAACAATCCGTAGTGTTTTTTGGCTTGTGGCAGCCTAATTGTACTCTCTGCCTCATCATACAGTGGTCCTTCTCTGTGTATCTGTTTGGTCTTCCTGTAAAGACCCCTAGTCGTTGAAATTAGGGCCCATCTTAATCCAGTAAGACTTTGTATTAACTAGGTTAGGTCTCCAAAGTTACTATTTCCAAATAAGGGCACAGTCATGGGTACCAGGCATTAGGGCTTTAACATAGCTTTTTAAAGGATTTTCTTTTTGGCGATGTTAGGGATTGAACCCAAGGGCATTGTGTAGGTCTTCCACTGAGCTAATCCCCTACCCTTAACATGTCTTTTTGAGAGACACAATTCAGTTCTGGACAGAGGGCTTTAAGCAAAGAGGGATTATGCTTTGATTTCCTTTCTGAAAGGCTCTCTGCCTATTGAATGGAGAAGGGACCCTAGTATACATGTCCTTGTTATGTGGTTTCTGTTCCACTCTCTGACCCTGTCACCTTACAGTGACAGGTAGAACCAGTGTTCATCTAGTTACCTAATTTCAGGGATTTTGTTTGTTTGAGACAGGGTCTTGCTATATAGTTCAGGCTGGCCTTGAACTCATTGTGTATCCCAGGCTGGCTTCAAACTCAGGCGATCCTCCTGCCTCAGCCTCCCAGTGCTAGTATTATAGGTGTGCACCAGCATGCTCAGCTCCCTAATTTTTGCACTGAGACCTCTGACACTCCATAGTTAATGTACCTTACTGGCTTAGAAACTTTTCAATAGGTTGCTCACAGAAGACACTTTGGTCATAAACTTTGTGATGGTGCTGGAATTATTGGTGAAATAAAGTCAGGTTTTTATGACTGGTTTTTGAAATTGAGAGCTCTGAGCTGTGCTTATCCTGCTGACAGCCCAGCAAACACCTCCTCCCTGACCTGGGCAGCAGTTGCCTGGGTCCAGGTAGGGGCTGCTTGGGACCACACAAGTTATGTACTAGGTAGGGGACTTGTGTGTGGCGCAGTGCAGTGCAGCTTCCCCAGTGACAGAGATGCCACTTGTTCCTCGTGGTTCCCTTTTCCTCTCAAGATTGGCAGATCCAAGGGTAGACTAGGAGCCTGAAAGCTGTTTTGTGCCTTCTCATCAAATTTACATAAAACTCACAAACCACATGTTAAGTAGCTGTCTGAAAGCCTCTTTGAATTGCCCTCAGCTTGGGCCACCCTTCCTCATCCTCCAGTAGCTCCTTTACTAGTCACCCCGCCACATTCTTTGCTATTTGAATAGAGGCCTGCATGGCCTGGGCCCCCAAAGCCATGGAGACCCAATTGTTTGTCCTTCCTGTTCCAGTGACTCTCACATTCTTTCATTCTGTCTCGAAGGAAAATTTTGAAGTGGTTTTAATTTGGGGAATTTTGTATCAGGAAAGCTCTGTGGGGTAGTTATAGGCTGCAGACTGTAATTGCAGGGAGTAAAGAATGGTAGTGTACAGTCTAGGAAACAACCCACATATTATGAAATCTCTCATTTCAAGGTCTTTTAATAGTAGAATGATTGCTCAGCAGCCTGGTTGTGTCCTGCCTTTTAGGGGTCCTTCTACATAACATCTGGCACTAGTCCAGGCTTGTGGAACACCTTGTCACACATGCAGTGTATGAGAAAATGCTACAAAAGCACAGGTCAGACAGGAAGATTGCAGTGGGCAAAAATTCCTTCAGAAGCATTTTATGTTGAAGTTTAATTTCTGGGACTGGATTGTTCCCTTTCTCCCCAAATCGTGGGTTGTTTTGTTCCTGATAAAGTTAGTCTTACACATTTCTGTAGTTCCAGGATATGACTAGACAGCAGGTATAGATAATACAGAACTGTATCTTTTGGAAGAATGGTTTATGAATTATTAGTGAGGAGTTGGTATTAACATTTGTAATGATCCTGGCTTCCTAGCATGCTATGTCCTGTTTACCATACCCATGGTTCCTGTGTTAGCTTTATAATTCTTTGAACTCAGGAAAACATACCGCTTTTTACTGGAACTATTTTAGGAATTTAACAGTATCTAAACTCTGTAATGACTCTTCCTAAGACAGAGTTATACTCCAAGAATTAAACAGTGGATAAGGTTGTGGGGTTTTTTTTGGTACCGGGGATTGAACTCGGGTCCTTATGCTTGCGTAGCAGGCCGCGAAACCACTGAGCTAAATCCCTGGCCCAGGTTGTGTTTTTTTAAGCCACAATTAGAAGCTGGTTTTTGATTACCTAGTAAAATAAAACTCTAATTTCAGAGAGATTCCCTGAAAATACCGGACTGACTGCTGGCTATAAAGTTTGGGCTGGTGGTTCAGTATTTGCTGCCAGTCTGGCTTCCCTCACAAAGGATATTTAAGTGGCTGCTGTATTGTTCTATCTTGGCTGGAAAAGAAACATCCTCTGAGAAAGGACTTTTGAGGAGCTACAGTCTTGTCCCCGCCCCACTTTTTTTGATGCTTAAGGAGGACTTAAGTGTGCGTGGTTTTGTTTGTCCAGCTGTTGTAGCCTACAAAGACTGCAGTGATTGTGTTCTGCCAGTTAAGGTCTTCCTCCTCAGCATCCCTCACACCCTGACATTACCATGCTTACACTCACACACCTTTATTTGCAGACTGTTAACCTGTCTGAGAAGGAGAATTTTAGCAGAAGGTCTCACATCACCTTTCCTTTATACAGTTTGACGTGTTAATTAGATGCCTGGGTATTTCACAGACAAGGTAGTCCTCTGGAATAAAAAGAGATAAATAGGATCAATCCATAGTATATACTGCTTGAGGCTTTGTGGGGAATGCTGAATTGTTTGTTGATGCAATTTTGTAGTATAGATCAGAATCAGCAAACTCAAAGCCCAAATCTGGTCTGCAACTTGTTTTTCTATATGGCCCTCTAAGCAAAGAATGAGTTTTATATTTTTAAATGGTTGAGAAAAATTGTGATGTGAAAATTATATGAAATTCAAATTTCAAGGCCAATAAAGTTGTATTGGAATATACCCACGTTCATTTGTTTAGATATTGTCTATGGCTGGTTTTGTACTATTGTAGCAGGGTTGAGGACTTAGAATAGAGACTAAATGTCCAGCAAAAGCATGTTGGACTTTGTGGCTCCTGCCTCTAATCCCAGCACTCCGGAGGCTGAGTTCAAGACTACCTAATGAGGGCCTGGGATTTAGCTTAGTGGTTTCACTGCCTGCTGTGCAAGCGAAAGGACCCGAGTTCAATCCCCAGTACCAAAAAAAAAAAAAAAAAAAAACTACCTAATGAGACTCTGTTGCCAAAAAACCCCCCAAAACTAACAAAACAACACACAAACACACACATGACTATATACCTCAACAACAAATAAAAATAAACCATAGGCCCTGAGTGCCACTTATATAGTCCTGTGTGGTCAGGGAAGGATTAAGGGGGAGAGACTGATTTGGGCTGGCTGTTTGTCTCCTTTGCAAAGTGAAAATGATGGATGCAGTTGATTTGCCAGTGTAACTGATCTTTAACTGACTAAAAGATCCAAGGAGTAAAAACAAACTATTTAAAAAGTGAA